AGGTGAATATGGGACATGGAATAAAGAAATAAAAAAAGAAATGGAAAGTGAAATGGCGGGTGGAAAAGTTTCAAAAGCCTTTGCCTTGTGATTTTAACCCTATACAAGATAAAAGAAATATGTCAAAAGTCATCAAGCTTTGGGCAATCTGCCCATGAAAGAAAAAGGAAAGGAAAAGAAAGTTTTCACAAGGCCATTTTAAGTTCATCCTTGTGATATCTGCCCACACCAAAGAAATAGCAAATAAATTGGCTTTGTCTTGACAAAGTCGAACCTTTGAGAAAGAAAAGAGAGATTTTGTTAGGAAGCAAAGGAAGAAAGAAAGAAAGAAGAAAGGAAGAAAGGAAGAAAGGAAGAGAGGAGAAAGAAGAAAAGAGAAGGAGAAGGTTCAGCCTAGTGAACTCGAGAAAGGTAAGAAGATTTGTCATTTTGCTCGAAATGCATGCTTTGTTAATCAATTGTGATGTGAGATTTTATTTGTGGTAGCAAGGATCTACAAAGATTCAAAGAACTTGAGGCATGCCTGTAGGTAGATCTTGGAATTTGGAGCTAAATAAGTAATGGGTAAGTGTTTTAGCCTTGAAATCATAAGTAGAAAGGAAAAATAAGATGTACACTGATTGTCTATATTTGGGCAGCAATGGCGACCGAAGACGTGAGGAAGTTGTGAATCATATTTGGAAATTCAAGCTTGAGCCGAGAGGTAAGCAAGCAAAGTGACTACATTGTGTTGTATAAGCTTTGGTTGGTTGAAGTGTATGGATTGTTTGATAAATGCTTGTTTGTAATGTTGATAAAAACTATAAGACTTAGTTAAGGATTATTGGTTGAAATGTTGCCATGTATGAGTACAATTAAATGTATTAGGTTTGAATGGTTGCTAAGAAGGGAATCAGTAAGTAAAGTTTATCGTGGTGGCATGATGGATGAGATAACGAGAGATTGGCAAGTAGAAATTAGTTAGATACGTATTTAAATCAATAGCGACGTAGCGTCCTGCTATTGTACGGTAAGTAGGGGGTGTCTATTTTAAAATTTCCATAACTATGTAAATATATATGTGTGTGTGTGTGTTGATTTTACTTTGAATACAGATTTGTGGAAAGCATAAACTGATAGAGATGTTAAGAATTTGTGGATGCCATGATTTTGAAAATGGTTTTGAATATATATATATATATATATATATATATAAGCTATATATATGTAAAAGGTTTTTAAAATCGAGAAACAAGCTTTTAATATGATTTACGTCAAAATATGCTTTATAGTTTGTGTGATGTGCATTCATGATTGAAACACATATCCACCATGTAGACTGATATTTTAACCTCATGCAAAGGGTTTATGTTTTAAAGTCTTATAAGGGATTTTGTCATGTTACCAAGTTGAATAATGTGGAAATGGTTTTAAAATAAGTTTTTGAGAACCCAACTTGATTTTTAAATGATTTTACCAAATCGGGAGATTCGAGAATAGGTCGAATGTCACATTGAGATAGTGTGACCTTTGTGTACAAATGAACTCTAGCTAAAAAATGTTTGGGTGGTCGACAGGATATTAGACGTGGCAAGGGCCATGGTTTGTGATATATATGTGTCAAGGCCACGGGTTAATTTATGTGGCTAGGTCACAAGTGATATACACTGTTGCAATCACCTAATTTCTCTGATATCAGCTAACATTGTTAAGACTACCATGGTTGTGGGGATTCGGTGGAGTGGAACTCTTGAATATTATTACGTGGAAGTGGGTCCATGAGTTTCTTATTTTTATTACCTACTCGAGAGTGATGTCTCTTTGGGTTTTCAATACGTGTTCTTTCACATGGCAAGAATAATAAGACTTTCTGCAGCTCCCTTATTTTTACTATGATGTTGGATTTAACTCCTTGCATATAAGGTGATTTGTGAAATTGTGTATAAGTTTTGATAACTCTTGATTTTCCGAAACAATGCATGTTTATGATAGATTGGATTGAGTAAAGTGTTGAATGAATTAAAAGATGAAAAATCTTGTACTTATACCGATTTGTTTTAAATAAGTTGCTAAATGATTTCGACAATAGAGATCTTTACTTGTATTGATTTAGTATTTGATTTAAATAATTATCTTGCAATAACCTTCTGATTTTACATATAAGGCACAAACCTCCCTTTTGAGTTATATTATTTATATATATTCTTATATTTTTAATATTCAAAACTTCTGCCTTGGTTTGTTTCCCATCTACAGCTTACTCACGGAGTTGATGATCACTGAATTTGTGAGACTCACCCCCTTATTTTCTTTTGCAGATAAGTAATCGATTCAAGTGCATCGTTCAGCACATCGAGACTAGTTACAATGTAGGTAATGGCATCTCTTAGACTTCCACTCTGAGCTGCTTCGTTGTATAAAGGTCATGTTGTGTCAAATAGTCAGACTTATAAAGATTAATAGTCTATCAGGATTGTATTAGCTAAAACTTGAGGTTGTGTAATGAATATCACTTGTGATGTTGAAATTGCTTCGGAGTTGTTAAATCTGGTTTTTGGTATCTAGATGCTACGTTTTAAATATTTTGTTTATTTGGTTTAAGTAAACGATAGTTTTAGTGATGTCAGTTGATTTTATATTATCCGGAATCTCAACTAAGGCTTGTTCGAGATTTGACGAGTTCACTCACAAGTCTCAGACGTCGGTAACAATCAGAAGAAGGTCGTTATAGAAATTGCTTTAATTGATTAAAGATTTGTGTTAATTGATTAAGACTAATCTGTTTTTATTAAAGCTCTTTCTTCTTTGCTTGTTTAACCAATTAACCCATCTTACAACTGAGCAAGCATCTTGAGTTGCTTTCAAATACCAAATATATACATGAATTTAAGTGCTTTCCTGCACACTTAAATAATATAATTAGACACCAATGAATGGAAATATTTTGTTATTATCAAAGACATATGAAGTTAACATTCTCTCTCTTATTTTTGATGATGACAAAACACTCATAGATTAACAGTGCAATGTCTATGTTCAATATAGATGCTTCAAATCTTTATGCATAATGAGTTGCTCCACCTTAGTTAATGCATTTAGCTTTCTTTAAAGATTTGCAATAAAATTTTTATAATATCCACAGTAGCTAAACAAGATATACAATATTCACAGTAGCTAAGTAAGATATATTGAATATCCATAAAAACTAGCACATAATATTTAACAAAACCAAACCTAAGCATCACACATAAATTAAACATAAAGACCTACCAAACTCTATTTAACTTAGTCTTATTTCTCTCTTTTCTCATCATCATTAAAAAGATATTCAAAACTCCCCCTTAATGAGTACATCTAGATTTTTCTTTTATCTTTAAATCAGACTTTCATGGATGATAATCATAAGCATTCATACACCTAAGTCATACATGTTATAGATATAGTCCAATAACTTCAAGAGTTAAGCTTGTGTCTATGTAAGAACAAATGTATGGAGTTAAATTATTTTAAGAACTTGTCAAGGATCACTCAAATAATGTTCAAGAAAATTTGATCATTTTATTATAATCAAAACTATAATGATTTTAAAGCTACCACCTCTTTGTATAAACAGGAAAAGGATTTGAACTGCTTGTGTGCTTTATGATGCTTCTCTCTTTTTGTGTTAAGCAATTTTCCCCATACTTTGTTAAATATGTTTTATCATTCATTAGTATCCCATTCATTATCAATAAGGGCATCCCAAGTATTTATTGTGATTTAGCAATTAGACATTGATAGAGATAATATATGCTCTATGAGTCAATTGATTGGATATAGATATACATTATGTTATTTTAAGCATTTGATTTTGATAAAATGTTTTCTTTATCTTTATGTTTCTAATTTTTATCATTAATTAATAAGATAACGTTCATGAAAATAGACATTTTTACAAAAACAATTATAAAGTGTTATAATTATGAGATCCTTATTGCATTAAAGCATAATTCTTAGATGTTCCTAGTTAATGTTTTTGGATGTGGATTGTAATGCATGCTTGTGATTGTATAACCTATGGATTTCAAAAATTTTCTAGCTATGGAAGCAACTTATCCAATTTACATAAGCAAAAATTCACAATCATACATCACACAAATCATAGAATAATCGCATTAATGTTAAAAAATATAAAAAGTAAGTGATATTACAAACTCTGTACTTGGAATATATTTGATTCATCTCTTATAGTGAATTGTAGTAAATTCACCACAGCACCAATCTAAACAATATTGATTTTCAGCTAGGGGGGTTCTAAAGTCATTTTATATATTGTAATAGGTGCTTTTTGGTATTTTGTTGTCTATTAAATGGAAAACATGTATCTATTTGCCTTTTGGTATTTTTCTGTTATGGTGTTTAACAACATATCACGTTATCTGTATCTCATAGTCACTCCTCACACATGATTTGGATTTTTTTTCAATCTAAACTATAATATTCTCTCTTACAAAAGGTATTTTAGTCATTTTATATCTTTTAATATGTGCTCTTTGGTATTTTGCTATCAATTAAATGAAAAACATGCGCTTGTTTTATATTTTGGTATTTTTCTGTTATGCTTTTTAACAACAAATAACTAGTATCTATGTCTCATGTTGTTAACTTCTTATGCAAGTGCAAGTATCGTGAACAAGTAATATAATGATAAAGTAGAGTATTATTCTCATAGAGAATTATCTTAATTCTTATTTTACACCATAATTTTATTTAATCAATTAAAATTAAAACAAAAACAAAAACAAAAACTAATCTAAATTTATCAGCAAAATTTGTTTGAAGAATTTAATTAACTACTAGATCTAAGATAATAATATCCCTCAATACTTCATCTGAATTTTTATCTCTCTCTCTCATAACTTAGTTTAATGGATTAAGTTATGAACCTCTAGTCCTAAATTATTTACAAGTTTTTGTCAAGTTTCTTATAAAAATATCACGCAATTAATTTACTATATGTCTATGCAAATTAAGTTGAAGAAAGATTCATTAAGTTTAGGCTCTAATCTAGCTATGTATGGCTTATAAGTGTATGTTTACCTTATATGCAAGTCAAACGATCTAATCAACTAAGTGCATTCGATCATATGCTATTCTATTCAAGGTATACTCTAAATCTCCTTTGTCAAGGTTTAACTTAAGTTTCTAATTCTATCTAATTGGTGGTTAGACAATTAGAAGCATTAAGTACATAATAGAATAAACAACTTAAAACCATCAAACATAAGCAAAAAAGAGATAAATAATTCAGACTACATATTGAGTTCAATGATAATCTTAAATTGGTTCCCCATAATGTCACACATTATCATCAAATAAAGTTTAAACATTGAAACCAAACCAAGGAAAATAAAAAATAGCAAAAAGATAAAAGAAACTCTAAGTGAAAATCTTAATCTCCAAATCTTCTTGAATCCTTCAATTTCTTCTCAACTCCAATGAGACTTTTTTCAATGATTTTGTGGCTAATTCTCAACTCTAAATCTAGTGTTCCGTGTCTCTGAAAGTCCTCTGAAAGTTTGCCTTTAAAAGGCTTTGAAGTTGGGTCAAGTTGGATAAAGAAAAAAGTCAAAAGTCAATTCCAATTAAGATTTTCTTATTAGACTAAGTGAGCCGAGGCCTTGACCATTTAATTTGCAAAAGTCATGATCTCTCTATGATCACTATAGTACCTCAAATTCAACATGGTTTTTGACCATCTTCTAAGTTGAACTGGGCAAAATGGTAAACATTAAAATTGTATCTTTTTCTCTTAACTTTCTAATGGTCTAAGAATTACCTCATTTAGAGTTTGGTAGAGAAAGTTATGGTTGGAATATCAAAACATATGCAATAGAAGTCCACACCTCAAAATTTTTATCCCTCTTCCATTAAAAGTCTTTTGATAAACATCTACAAGGGCACAAATAAATCAATAACAACTTATCTTAGACATATAACCATCAATTTAACATAAGATTAACAAAGATTATATTGACTCACCTAATTAACTTAAAAAATTAAATAAACTGTACTAATTTCTATACATTACCACACGAACTAAGCTGAATTATGATCAAAATTAAGTCCAAATAACTTTATATCATAGAGTTATCACACCCTCAAATTTAAGATTTTGCTAGTCCTCGAGCAAAACATAGAGGAGAAACTAATTTACAAAAAACAATTTAAATGATGAAAGCAAAATAAATAAAGCAACTACTAGAAATAAAGTGCACCAACTCAATGATCTCACAAAATTTTCTCAAATGTATGTTTATCAATCTCAAACTTAAGGAAAAATATAAGCATTATTCAAATTCATGTTTCAATTCTAATGCAAGAACATTCTCAAATGGATTTTCATGTGTGTGTCAAATTTTTTACCAAGAATTTCATAACATCTGGATAATTGTATGCCAATGGAAAATTCAAATCAGTACTAGAACTTCATAAGTTTGCCTATCATTTCTCTCTCCATTAATATAGACTAATACTAAGTTAGGGATCAGTTAATCATTATTAAGCTTGTAATATATGGCTAGGGTCAAGGTAGGTTAAAGGATAATAATGTGGCTTAAATCACCCTAAGCACATAATTATTCTAGGACCTATATAGAGCTCTATTTTCATTCTCCACATATACAATTTTTCTTCACTTCTGAACTTTTCTTTTGTTTAACACTTTTTCTTCTTTTTTTTTTCTCAATTTTATACCCTCAAACTTATTTCTTTTAATGTAGTAGTGAGGTGAATACTAATAATTTTGAATTTTTTTCAACATCTCAACCTTTGCTACCTTTTTCAACATTTAGCTCAATCTATATTTCCTAAAACAATATACATGCTTAGGAGTGAGGGTTGCAAAATTGAAAATATTTATTTTGAAAGGCTAAGCTTATTATTATATGGTTAAACAAAGAAAAGAAAAATTAGACTCAAAGGGGTATACCAGGGATAAAAATACATCAAGGTTAGCTTCAAAGGCTCAATGATCCAAAGATGGCCTGAATCATTTCCCTAATTAAGTTAACTAGAATTTTGCCTCAAGAGAGAATTAAGCAAATTCTAGAGTTCTTAACATAATCTAAAATTCACATCAATATAAACCTTCTCTAGATATTCACAATAATTCAAAGCAAAAGATATAATGTGCAAAATTGTGGAAATCATATCCTAACAATAATACTCAACAAAAGAATCTAGCATGAACCAAACAATATCCTTATTCACTTAAAGCTAAATATATGAGACAACTAATTATCATCATTGGATAAAGAAATTATCGAAACAATTTCGGCACAACTCTATTTTAGATTCCTAAAAATTCAAGCAATTATAAAAATTTAAATGATAAACTAATCCTAATTATTTAAAGTTTAAATAAATATGTAAATAAAATTAAATCTAAAACTTTGACAAAATTTTCACCAACAAGAAAAATAAATAAATTCACCCCCTAAACTTAAACTAAACATTGTCCTCAATGTTAAAAAGAATAAAGAAAAGGTAAAAGAATACATTCCTGGTAGTTGGATGAATTTGGAGAAGTTCTAATCTTCTTTTCTTTTCTTCTTGTCATCTTCCTTATTGTCAGTTGTAAGAGAAATTTTTTACTGGAA